ATGACGTAACTTTATAAACGCGAGTCTTCGGCGTTGGAAACACACAAGGACGGCCATGTCTGTCTGTTCACCCATTCGTCTTGTCATATGGGGCTGGCAGCTGAGGTTATGTGACTGGTTTTTACGTTGTTCAATTGTACTTTTAACCTTCAGTTAGTAACTACAAAGAATATTATTCACATCAACTAAAATTCTATGAAATGGCTCTAAAAGATCATATAATACTGAATAATTAATATTATGGTAAAACAAAGGAAAAAAGCTTTCCTTCATTTGTCGAAAACTGAGATTTATGTACTTTAACACTTTCTGAAATGGCTGATTGACTTAAATCGTTCTCCCTCCCACCTCTGACATTCAATTGTGGTCATTGTGCTTGTGAAATGTGGCACGGTCTCCGTCACAGGCAGACTCGAGTTTTATTCTCCGGTGTCGATTTATAATTCCGTGCGGGTCGTTGGGGTTCTTCAAAATATCCCGTAATGTATTCGACGAAGCGTTCTTCGATTCAGAAGCATTTACGTCAGTAAAGGCGGCATTGGCCTTAGGTTCTCTTCCCGCGCATGCGCGTCTGTGTGTCTGCTTTATCTCGGCTCAAGTGTATGGGTTAGTGACCAGTTTTTGTTATGTTCAGCTTGAGTCTGTGTTTCGCTGGGTTTACCGCGTTCTTTGCACGAAGTTTATCAAAAGGAAGAATACGTTTCAGGGCTGGCCATGTCTGTCTGTCAATCCGTCTCTTTCCACATGACGTAACTTTATAAACGCGAGGCTTCGGCGTTGGAAACACACAAGGACGGCCATGTCTGTCTGTTCACCCATTCGTCTTGCCATATGGGGCTGGCAGTTGAGGTTATGTGACAGGTTTTTAAGTTGTTCAGTTGTACTTTTAACCTTCGGTTAGTAATGCCAACATGACGGATATGGATAGTGTAAGTCAAGCGAGATCGAGGTTAGGTTAGGTTAACCTAGAATATGTTAAGCTGGGTTACTCTGGACCAGGGTAAGGTGGATAAGGTTAGGTGTAGCTAGGCTAATTTAACTATGGTAGTTTAGGGAAGACTTTCATAATTAGGCTAGGCTAAAATGTGTTACGTTAGACTGGATTAGTCCATATTAAGGTAGGTAAGTCTAGGTTAGGTCATCATACGTTAGGCTAAGCTGTAAATAACATGTTAGAAGACATTTTAACAGATACAACTTTGAGTATTCAGCAACTAAACATTGTAAGCAAGGCAACAATGGTAGCCATCGTAATCAAGGTAACCACAGCAACAATGATAACGAAAGTATATACAGAGCTAGTCTAAATGATGTTCCCGATTTGATAGACATGGTACTCACGTTTAATAAAATTCAGATGCACAAGATTGGTACCGATGGAATGAGAAACTCTCCAAGTTTTGTTTCAGTATATAACAGGTGTTCAATGTGAGTCCCCTTGGTAACTCGGCACACGTCTAGCCTGTAGTCGAGTTCCTCCCAGCACTGTTTCCTCGCTTACTGACGGGCGGCCAGTTGACTTTCTCTTACAGATGCAGTCCATTTTCTTAAATTCGGAATACCACTTACGAATTGTACGCCCACTGGGTGGATCTGCCGCATACTTGGTTCGAAAATGCCGTTGCACACTAATAACAGACCGGTGAACGTGGAAATCCAGGACACAAAAGGCTCCCCTGTCTTCGATGGCAGCCATTTTCTCTCATATCGCCCCTGGCGGCGAACAGTGTTACTACGCGAAGTATACCAACATAAACTTGGAGAGTTTCTCTTTCCATCGATACCAATTTTGTGAATCTGAATTTCATTAAACGTGAGTAAGATGTGTTTCTAATCGGGAACATCATTTAGACTAGCCCTGTATAATTATGGAAACCATGGTAACCAAGTCAGTATCCACGAAAACAGGAGTAAGAAGGAAACGACAGTAGCCAAGGTGACCTAAGTCACCGTAGAAATCAAGGTTAACCATGGAAATCATACGTACTACTTATTACATGAAGCTGAGTCCTTCCTGCGAAGCTAACAGTCGCTTACCCACTCAAGAAATTCCTAAAATGTTATTGAACTCGAAGGTTTATTATTTTGTTCACAAGAGCTCGCCACTGGTCTCTATCCTGAGCCAGGTGGATCCAGTCCATACCACCCCATCCTATTTGTCTAAGATCCATTTTAATATTATCCTCCCATCTACGTCGAGGTCTTCAAATATTCCTTAGCTTTGATCGTTCCACAGACTATCCCACTCCGAGGCCCTGTGTAACATTTCGTAACAAGTTATTGTTTTTACGGTGATGAGTTGTAAACCCCACGCCCGACCTTCGAGCTGGAAGACCAACCCTTGGAGGTTACCCTTCATATCTGGAGGCCATCTCCTCCTTTGGCATCCTGAGAACGCGCCATACATGAACCATGGGAATCATTGTGATAAAATTAGCCATGGTGTCAAGGTAACTATGGTAAAAATGGAAACCATGGTAACGACCATGTCTGTCTGCCAACGCGATTTAATCCTAGTTTCGCTTAACGGTTTTTTATTAAATTTGGCATGGGCATTATGTCATTGGAGGCTAACCTGTCCTGATACTTTCAATTTTTTAAATCGAAATCACCAACATGGCGGAGGAACGGACTTGTGTGTCTTACAACAATATTTGGTATTAAATCTTCGAAAAATACGCAACGTTGATGCATTAATTATTTTTAGAGAATAAAATAGCAGTTGCATGAAATAATGGAATAGGACAGAATCTCTTTCAGACGTTAGCAAGGACTTCGGTCATATGTAAGCCCAGATAAAATTTATCTAAACATCATTTAGACTAGCCCTGTATAATTATGGAAACCATGGTAACCAAGTCAGTATCCACGAAAACAGGAGTAAGAAGGAAACGACAGTAGCCAAGGTGACCTAAGTCACCGTAGAAATCAAGGTTAACCATGGAAATCATACGTACTACTTATTACATGAAGCTGAGTCCTTCCTGCGAAGCTAACAGTCGCTTACCCACTCAAGAAATTCCTAAAATGTTATTGAACTCGAAGGTTTATTATTTTGTTCACAAGAGCTCGCCACTGGTCTCTATCCTGAGCCAGGTGGATCCAGTCCATACCACCCCATCCTATTTGTCTAAGATCCATTTTAATATTATCCTCCCATCTACGTCGAGGTCTTCAAATATTCCTTAGCTTTGATCGTTCCACAGACTATCCCACTCCGAGGCCCTGTGTAACATTTCGTAACAAGTTATTGTTTTTACGGTGATGAGTTGTAAGCCCCACGCCCAACCTTCGAGCAGGAAGACCAACCCTTGGAGGTTACCCTTCATATCTGGAGGCCATCTCCTCCTTTGGCATCCTGAGAACGCGCCATACATGAACCATGGGAATCATTGTGATAAAATTAGCCATGGTGTCAAGGTAACTATGGTAAAAATGGAAACCATGGTAACGACCATGTCTGTCTGCCAACGCGATTTAATCCTAGTTTCGCTTAACGGTTTTTTATTAAATTTGGCATGGGCATTATGTCATTGGAGGCTAACCTGTCCTGATACTTTCAATTTTTT